ACTGTCATCTCGGTTCATCTCGGACGGTTCACAACTCGCCATCTGGAATCATAAAGAATTACCGAACCCCCTTTGCGAGTCATGGGATGACGCGAATTCACTCATAAACTGCACAGTAGCATCAAACTGTGACTGCGAACCAGCGGAAACCACTGTCAATTGCATCTGTTCCGATCTGAACATCACGGAACTTTTCTTAAAGGAGATCGAGAATCGATTTCCTATCCGCTGACCGTGGATTACATTCACAGCATCAAAAGAAGAAGACCCCATTCAGTAACAGCCGAACTTCGAACGTTTGTCACAGCAGAATTACTCCTCCATCAAAGAGACAAGTTCGACGATACGATTACAGTGGTAACCAACCCGATATGCACGATTACGAACACAGTGGCCAAGGGATGTTACCTCTGCCCGCAGGGAGCAACAGCAGAGGTGATTTGTCATACAGATGGAAATGATACTGTGGCAACAATTCAATGTGAGGACCGGTTTTTTCACAATCCCATTACCAGGAAGGGAGCAGAATCAACACTGCGTTTCAGTCACACATCGGCAAGGATTCACCAAAGATGCAATGTGTCCTGCGGTAATGTGGGAGCTACCTTCGAAATCACTGGCATTCTTCAGTGGGTACATACCATACATGGGTATGCAGCTCGGATTATAGCGGGAGAAGCAACATTTTCGACGAGATCCGCTTACCCGACTTTGGTCACATATTTGATGTACTCCTGCATTGGTATAAAACTGTCCTTGCCGTAGGCATTTTCCTGCTCTTAGCGCTCTTGATGGGATATATGCTCCTTCGGACGTACGGACTCAAAACCATGCTTTCAATTGCACGTATCACACTCAAGACTGCACGAGGAATCATGTACATCACAACCTTGACCATGCGGTCAGCATGGAAAATCGCTTTTGCATGTTTCCGAACACACAAGAAAGGCACTGAGAAACTCCTGTGATGCCCTCCTCGACATTGGCAGATTTGATCTGTTGCATGAAATCACTACGATTGTTCTTCGGATACTGTAGTTCCTATATTTTAGTCATGGACAAAGCCAAGAAGACGTCATCAGCCACTACGGGAACGGACGTCATAGCTAAAGCATCACCGGTGCCCAAACCAACATCGCCAGCCAAACCAACACAGCCGGCCAAGCGCCTGAATCCGCCACCAAAACCTGTTGCGCCAGCCGTGCCTAAAAGTGCCCCTCCCCCTCTACCAAGCGTAAGCGCACTTCATCATCATCTTCATCA